TATTGAGAATACCATGGACTGCTAGGAAAACAAACAGATTTGTTCTGGAAAGGGTAAAATCGGGTGGCTCCTTGGAGGCAAGGATCCTGAGGCTCTGGACATGTGAGGAGAGACCGGTCCTTGGAGAAGGATATCATGCTTGGGAGGATGGAAGGACAGTGAAGGAGGGGAAGGCCCTCTATGAGGTGGATTGATTCAGTGATTGGGATAATCAGGATGGGAGTGTCAGAGACAGTGCGACTGGCACAGGGCAAAGCAGAGTTTAGGCCTGGTGTACATAGGGTCGCTATGAGTCGCAAGCGACTCGACGGTACATAACCACAACCACAACCACAACCACAACAACAACAACAACTTTGTCTATTTCAAATTACAGTTCTTAAGGGATGCTTGAAGCTGTTTGTCTTACATATAAGTTGTGCCATATCAGCAAATGGAAGTCCTTCATTCAGTGAAAGTTTCATACTATCCAGGCCATTAAGTTAGACTCTAAAAGGCATCTTAAAAAGGCATCTCTTCACTAAGTGTATGTTGGATCTTAGTGTCTTGTTTTCTGATACAATATTGGATAACTTTTTGCTGGTATTCATAACGTTTTTTGAGGGCACATTATTTTAGAAGTAGATGACCAGTTCTGCTTCTTAATCTTAGTCTAGAATTTCCACTGAAATTTGTCCACCAATGGTAATTAATCCTTTTGCTACTTGGAATAATGGTGGCATAGCTTCCAGTACTCCAACAAGATGCAAGGCACCACAATATAGCAAACTGACAGATAAGTGGTAGTTATCTGGCACATTACAACAGAAATATAACAATTGGGTGCCTTTAACAAACAGAAATTTATTCTCTCATAGTTTAGGAGGCTAGAATTCCAAATTCTAGGGAAGGTATTCTCTCTCTTTCGATTCTGGAGGAAACTTTTTCTTTCCTTTGGTATCTGTAGGCCTGACATTCCCTGAGGTCTCCACATGTCTTGGTTGGCCATCCTTTATGTCAAGAAGCTATCTTGCCCAGGAACCTCCGCTCCTGGTGATTTTCTGTTGGTCATACTGAGGTTCCCCACTCCTCTTATGTTTGCTTTCCTCCTCTTTTAATATCTGTGAGACAAATGGTGTTTGAGGCCACATCACATGGAAACAGCTGTAATAGGATTAAGGTTTGTTGTATTACATCCTTAATTATTTTACAATAGTTTAGTTTATTATCATGTTATTATCACTACAAGGCTTCCATATTATATCATTATTGGCTGACACAGAAGAATTTAATGAAATGATGTATAACCTAGAGGCAATGGTGATGAAAGAATTCAAGCTTCTCTGAAGTAATCGGCAAAAAACAAGGAATTGATAGCATATCAACTGATACATTTCAACAAAGAGATGCATCCTTGAATGTGCTCACCAGGCTGTGCTATGAAATCTGGAAGACAGCTACCTGGCTAACTGATTGGAAGGGATTCATATTTATTCCAATTCCAAGTGATCCAACAGAGTGTAGAAATTATCAGACAAAATCACTAATACCATATGTAAGAAAATCCTGCTGAAGATTAACTAAAAATGTCTGACAGAGAGCTGCCAGAAGTGCATGCTGGGTTTAGAAGAGGCCGTGGCCCTAGAGGCATCACAGCCAGCGCCAGATGGATATAGGCTGAAAGGAGAGTATACCAGAGGAATATTTACCTGTGTTCATTGACTATGCAAAGGCATTTGACTGTGTGGAACATAACAAATTGTGGGTAACCTTGAGAAGAATGGGAATCCCAGATCACTTGACAGTGTTCATGTGAAAACTTTATTTGGACCAGGAAGCACGCGTGGGAACAGAGCAAGGAAACACTGCAAGGCTCAAACTCAGGAAAGGGGTGCATCAAGGATTTTTAAACTACATACAGGACAGATTATTCGGGAGGCTGGACTTCATGAGGAGGAATGTGGCATTAGGATTGGAGGAAGACTAATCAACAACCTGTGTTATGCAGATGATACAACTTTACTTGCTGAAACTGAAGAGAGCCTGAAGTGTTTGCTGAAGAAGGTCAAGGTCTTCAATATGGATAGAAGCTCAACATCAAGAAGACAAAGATTCTCACCACTGGGCCAACTGGCAGCACCATTATTGATGGAGAAGAGATGGAGATTGTTAATTTCAGCTTGCTCAGTTCCACAATAAAAAATCTTCACACCAGTAGTCAGGAAATCAAAAGACAATTTGCAATAAGTAAGTATACTGTCAGGGACCTCACCAGAATGAAGAGCAATGTCAGTATAAAGATTAAGGGCCATGGTCTTCTACATTACTTACTATGCATCAGAGACCTGAACAATGATTAGGGAGGATAGAAGAATAACAATCAATAACTTTGAGTTGTGGTGCCAGAGAAGAGTACTGAACATATCATGAACTGTAAAGAGAACAAACAGGTCTACTGTATAGAAGGGGAAACCAAATTGCTCTTGGAGGCAAGGATTTTGAAGTTCTGTCTCACATACTTCGGACATCTTGTCAGAAGAAGGGACCAGTCCTTGGAGAAGGACATCATGCAGGTGGATGGATGGGGTAGAAGAGGAAAACTCTGGAAGAGATGGATTGACAAGTAACTGGGGTTATGGGGGCAGGTATGTTGGAGATGGTGAGATTGGCTTAGGATAGGACAGAGTTCAGAATTATTGTGCATAGGGTTGCTATAAGTGGCAGACAACTCAACAGGAAATAACAACAGATGTATTGTGGGGGGCATAATTATAATTTAATCAATGACACATGAGGTCTATAGGGCCTACCAACAACAACAGGTATGTACCGTTGCCAAGTTTCAGTTATTATTATCAATGCTTGCTCATCTTGTCTCACCTATAGTCCTAGCTCTTTACCCCAAGAACCTACTCTACTAAAATATATAACCATACACCCCTCCACTAAATCTATAATCATAATATCATTATCACATATAAAGGATTATTTTAATCTAAAATCTACTTACCAGTATTTATATTTTCTTCTTTGTCTTTTGTTTTTTAAAAAAACTTGTTTAGAAAAAAAATTGTCTGAATCAAGATCCAAATAAGAGTCACACACTGCAACTGATAAATACTCTTAAGTTTCTTACAATATATAGGTTATCTCTCTACTTGCACTTCTAACCCCCCCATCCCCAATTTATTTGTTGATCACACTGTAGCAATGTCCTGTGCCATTTCTCAGATTGGATTTAATCAGTGCAATCTACTCCCCTATGAGACCATTTAACATAGCCCTTCTTTCCTGCATTTCTTACAGATTGTTACATAGATCTTGAAATTTGGTCAAATATATGTCATAGATGCTTTGTGTATTTCCATCAGGAATATACAGTCACTGATGACTACTTTGATGATTAATTGACTGTTGTTAAGTGCTGCTGAGTTGAGTATGACTCACAGTGATCCTATGAACAACAGATCTGAAATCTGCACTATCCTGTGCCATTCTCATCATCTCTGATCTCTGATCTCTCTCATCATCTTGTTCCTACTGTTACAGAGAATTGCAAGCTGGTGATATTCCCATTCTATCGTTTTGTCCTTTACTTTTAGGTAGAACATTTCTATAAAGAAATCTCTTCTTCATCTCTAAATTATAATCTTGAGGTATGATTTAGTGAGGAAAAATGGGATAACCATGTGACAATTCCCCTTTTATGTACCAGCTTTCACAATGAGTTGGTTTCCTAGAATGAGTAGTAATAACTTAGTAATAGTGTATCATTTTTGTATGAACTTAAATATATCTGATTATGTTTTTAATCTATTACAGTTATCCACATAACTGGATGTTCACATTGGAGCCTCTTTCAAGTGTCTCACTGTTTTCAATTTTAACTGGAGTGCAAATTTATAAAACCAATCAGTTTTCCATTTAACTATTCATACACGTGTTGTTTTATGACATTACAAAATTGTCTCTTAACAACTTGAACCCAACTACAATCTTAATAATTTTTGAAGGCTTTCTGATATAATAAGATGTTTCTAGGATTATCTTGTACAGTTCCAGTTCCAAATTTGAACCAGCCATTTCTCTAAGGAGTCCTAGTTCTTTTCAGTGAGATAAGTTATTTAGAGACAATATCGACAGTAATACAGGGTGCTTTTAGGTAATAGGGATACTTAGTGCTACAAAAATGGTTACTTTTTTTAGGCCATTTCAGTAGAAAGAATTAACAAATTAAAAAAAATTCCAATTTAAATTTATAGAATTTTTACTTAACCAGTTTATATAAGGATCCCTATTTTCTCAGTTGTTAATGACATCAATGTGAGTTATCATTTTTTATCACAAAGTATATACTGTGAAAAAATATTTAAAACTTTTCTATTCATGAGTGTAAAAAATATCTTATGGCAAACAAAACAGATTTTGTCTTATGTAAAATTTTCATCTTAAACAAAACAGAGGTCTAATACATATCTCAAGATTATTATAAATTTAATGTATTTGATAGGAAATCAACATTGAGACATTTTAAAATCTACTCTTACCAGTTCTGCAAAATCTGCCGCCTCTAAGTTACTCAGTGCTGTGTCTAATTCCATCTATAGTTAAACACAAAACAAAACAATAACACAAACATTTGGTTCAATTATTTTTTCACTAATGGTCATATAAAAAGTACTCAACTATTTGAAAAAACTGAGTTAATATTTTACTCCTTTGTGTTACTTACAAAGAGTATCAAATAAAACATTATTTTTAGCCTTAATGACAAGAAATTATTTCTTTACTATGTATGATTTTTAGTATCTTGATTATTGTGAAATAGAATTTTCCTATATATGTAAAGTAAAACAATTTAGGATTTAAAGAATTGCTGTTGTAGTTTTAAGTTTTAAAAAGAAATTAACCATTTTAGCGTACAAGTAAAAATCAGAATGTAGTCAACCTATTTGCAGTCCCCCCCCCCCCCGTCACCTCCCTATTGTTTATTTATTTCTCTATGGCTGTATTCTTGGAAAAGATCAGCATTCTTCCCTATGTGCCTCCTAGACACAAAGTTTTGTATAAAAGGGTTGTCAGTCTTTTATTCATGGATGAAAACATGAAGGCAAGAGCTCCCCTGGAATCTGGCACATGGAGCTACCCTATAGAGTTTATTAGAAAAATCTCTTCCTCAGATTTTTTTCCCTAAACTTTTGTTTCTATGGAAACTTCTTCACCTTTTTTCATGTATTACTACTGCTCTTCCTTTAAACAGTCAAACTATAAAAAAAAAAATAAAGTTAACTGGAAGTTTAATATGTAATATATATGTATAAATTTAAAACTTTTAGCAACCAAACCTCATAGCATACATGCTACTTTTGGTAAAAGAACCCTTTTTATTCTGTTTGTTTCAAAGGCCAAGGCACTCTCTGTAGGAGTATGTTTCACAAACTGTGTCTTACTGAGATGACAAAGCTTTTGAAACATTAGTCATGCCTTTCAAAGCGTTTTACACAGTATGACTTATTACTCATTTGTGATCTACATTTCTCACCCTCTAGCAGATACTTTGTGTTCTCTTATTTTTGTGGCTACAATTTCTCTTGTGAAAAAATTACAGTACAAAAGAAAAATTACTCACTTCTGATTTTTGATCTCAGAAACTTTTTAATGTGTTTCTATTTCTGTTATTGTATTGTATATTGCAATACTGTCCAGGCTGATGTACAAGGTTACTGTAATCACCTCTTCATGTTTGTGAAGAGAATGGTAAAATATATTTACTCTTAGTTTTTCTACTATATTCAGGGAAACAGGATTAATATATACATTAATATAGATAAAATGTTTATTTTTAATATATAAGAACATTTGACAAAAATATACACAAATAAAATCCTCAGATACTTGAGAAAGAAGAAAAACCACTGAAATGAGACTTCATCATATAATAAACACAGAACAAGTTTAAGAAACAAAAACAAAAACCAAATCCCAAAATTTATTTCCACTTAAGTGTCACTCTGGAAACTAAGGTGCATCTGATACAGGCTATGGTCTTTGCACTCACTTGTTACGCATCAGAGAGTTGGACCATGACTAGGGAGGAAAGAAGGAGAATTGATGCCTTTGAGCTGTGGTGCTGGAAAAGAGTATTGAATATACCATGGACTGCCAAGAAAATAAACAAATTCATACTGGAGAGGGTTAAACCAGGCTGCTCCTTGGAGGCAAGGATTCTGGGGCTTCGTCTGACATACTTTTGACATGTTGTAAGGAGGGAGAGGTCCTTGGAGAGGGACATCATGCTTGGGAGGGTGGAGGGATGGCACAGGAGGGGAAGACCCTCTATAAGGTGAATTGATTCAGTGACTAGAGTGATCGGGATGGGTGTTTCTGAGGCAGTGCGATTGGCACAAGATAGAGAAGGATTTAGGGCTGTTGTACATGGGGTCGCTATGAGTCGCAAGCGACTTGACGGCACATAACAACAACAACCAAGTTAACCAGGCACGTTACATCATATATTTATGTTTTTAACCAGATTTCTCAAACAAACAAAAAAAATTCTTTAGTATATTCCATTAGATGATATATACAAAGCAATTAAATCCTATTCCTTAAATAAGAAATCCCAAATGAAAAAGTGTTTAAGTTCTTTGAGATTGCTACTAAAACCAAAATAAAAAACCTTAAGGGTTATTATGTTATAAAGACTTTAAATTCATGGAAGAGATCTGTCATTTAATTAGACAAGATCCCTAACTCTTTCTAAAAAGGGAGCTCTAAGAGCTTAGTCTATAGTGAGTTGCGAGATGCTAACCCAAGGTCTGTGTTTTCTGAGGTTCAACCTACTAGCAGCTCTGTAGGAGAAAGACATGCAGTCTCCTTTCATTATGATTTACAGCCATGGAAAATCTAATGGAGGGTTGCTCTGAGTTGAAACTGATCTGAAGGTGACGAATGAGCCTTTCGAAAAAATATTGTTAAATTTCCTACATAAACTATAAAATATAGGAAATGCCTAGCAATATCCTAATTCATGTGTATTAGCCAGGAGTCTCTGGATGATGCACAAGGTAATTATGTTTGGGTGTTAATAAAAGGATTGAAGTTTTTGTCCAGCTAAAGGTACCTTGGAACAACAACCTGGCAATCTCCTTCCCTAAATCAGGTACTGAAAACCCTTTGGGACACAGTAGTATTCTGAAACACATGGGGTCGCCATGAGTCAAAGTTGGCTTGATGGCAACTCACCAGCTGGTACTCAGAAACCCAGATGATATTTTTTTTTAGTTACCAAACCACTATAAAATTCTGAGCACTTGGTACAATGGGCACTGATCTCCACACAGTGGTGGTCAGATTTAACAGATATAACAGAAAAGTTCCGGTAGATAAGCAATAGGTACAAACTGAGAAAACTAATGAAATAAAAACCAAATCCATATACCCATAAAGAATTTTTTCTGGGTGATAGTGATTTCTCAGTTTGATATTCTTTTAGATTATAATAATGAAAAACCATATAATGATTCCAATCAAATATATGTTGAATTCTTAAAAAAAATCGATATAAAGAGGAAATCTGAATGTAAAAGGCAGTCTTTACCATGAGACTCCTAAGATCAAATCAGGCTACACTTAAAAATCTTGGAGCTCTGGTGGTCTAGTGACAAGAAGCTGCACCCCAGAGGTACGCGGTTCAAGTCCACCAGATGCTCTGCTGGAGGAGGAGGGGCAGTCTCCTCCTGTACCAGTCAGATCTGATCTTATGGTACACACACAAAAAATAATAATAAATTTTAAAAAACTCAAAACTTCTTAAAAGATCATAGTATTGAAATCTAATGTAACCAAAGTATAAAGGTATTGCCTTAAAATGTACTAAGTTCTTTCTATCACACAAAAAAGGAAATTACACTTTTTGAAGGAAGATTTTTTTCTATTGAAGAGATTCTGAGATAGGAATAGGAGCTTCTAAGAAGAAAACAGTCCAAGGGTGCAGGAGACAGGCTATCAAGCCAGACATCTTATACGGTGAAAGTACTGTGGGTTCAGTTCCAGACCACTGTCATATGAGTATCACATTAAAGCCACTCTTTGAGAAAGATGAGCAGTCTTCTCCTTTAAAGATTTATAGCTGTGGAAATGAGATGGTGGTTGCTCTGAGTTAGAACTTACTGGATGTCAGTGGGCTTGGTGGATTTTTTTAAAAGTACATATAAGAGTTATGTTTGCATGATATTGTAGCATCTTAAGTATACATTATAAAAAGTTTGAACTTATACAAGAATTACCAAAATATGAAACAGAGACATGAAATGAGCACATGATATTAGACCTATGGTATCAAATCTTATTTCATGCAGGATCATCACCAACCTTAAATTTGTTTGTAAAAAGTTTAATATTACAATTTTTTTCTATGTTAAAGAATTTATTAGCTCATAATTTTGAGAAATGTTTTTCATTCTCTGGATAGTGCAAATGGTTGTGCTCTCACCTACCAGCTAAAAGATTGATGTTGTTGTTGTTGTTATGTGCCGTCGAGTCGCCTGCGACTCATAGCGACCCTATGTACAACAGCCCTAAACTCCGCTCTGTCCTGTGCCAATCGCACTGTCTCCGACACTCCTATCCCAATTATCCCAGTTACTGAATCAATCCACCTCATAGAGGGCCTTCCTCTCCTGCGCTGTCCCTCCACCCTCCCAAGCATGATGTCCCTCTCCAAGGACCGGTCTCTCCTCACAACACATCCAGAGTATGTTAGAAGGAGCCGCAGAATCCTTGCCTCCAAGGAGCCACCCAGTTTAACCCTTTCCAGGACAAATCTGTTTGTTTTCCTAGCAGTCCATGGTATTCTCAATACTCTTCTCCAGCACCACAGCTCAAAGGCATCAATTCTCCTTCTATCCTCCTTGGTCATGGTCCAACTCTCTGATGCATAACAAGTGACTGCGAAGACCATGGCCTGTATCAGATGCACCTTAGTCTCCAGAGAGACACCATTGCTCTTCAGTACTTTGGAGAGTCCCTAACAGCAGACTTTCCCATGGCAATGTGCCTTTTAATTTCCTGGCTGCTGGTGCCAAGACTGTTGACTGTGGAGCCAAGCAAACTAAAGCTGTGTACAATCTCAATCTCTTCACCATCCATCCTGATGCTGCCAATTGGTCCAGTGGTGAGAATCTTTGTCTTCTTGACATTGAGCCTCAATCCATATTGTAGGCCGCAGTCCTTGACACTCTGCAGCATGCGCTTCAGGTCCTCTTCAGTTTCAGCAAGCAGGGTTGTGTCATCCGAGACTTAGGACTTTGAGTCATTCATTGTTACACTTTTCTCCCCACCCACGCTCTCCTCCCCAATTCACTCTTCTTGAAAAGAAAAAGAAAAACTCTTTCATTGTTATGTAGTCCCTCCCCTCCAAGTCCACTCTACTACGTGGCCTTCACTCTGGACTTCTGTAATGACAATATCCATTCATAAGTCCCTTTTAATCAGTTCTCTCCCTCATCTGTTTCAATGAAATATACATCATTCCTCCCCGCTTTTTCTGTCTTCCCTCAACCCTGATGTCAGTCCCGTTTTACAACAGTGACCCTATACAATATTTGTCCTTTTGTGACTGAGATATTTCATCAGCATAAAGTTCTCCAGGTTCATCCATTTTGCATACTATTTCATGAGTTCCTTCTTTTTCAATGATGCATAGTATTCCATTGTGTGAATATATCAGAGCTTCTCTATCCATTCGTTTGTTGATGGGCACCTGAGTTGTTTCCAGGTTTTTGCTATTGTGAACAAAGCCGTGATAAACATGGGTGTGCATTTATCTGCTTGGATGACAGTTATAGTTTTTTAGAGTAAATTCCCAGTAGTGAAACTGTTGGGCCAAATGGTATTTCTATTTGCAACTTTATGAGAAAGCGCCATATAGCCTTCCATAGTGGTTGCACCATTTTACATTCCCACCAACAGTGAATAAGAGTTCCAGTTTCTCCACAACCTCACCAGTATTAGTTGCTTGCTGTTCTGTTAAATTTTGTTATTCTTACTGTCGTGAGATGATATCTTTTGTTAAAAAAAATTTACTTTATTAAATTTAATGAACAATTACAGAGATTTGGGATTTTCATTCATTCATTTTTGCACTTTCCTCCCTGTTCAGACCTCCCCCTGCAGTTCGCTCCTCTCTTTGAAAAGCAAAATTCCTTCTTTGGTATACAATCCCCCCGCACCCTTCCCACCACCCTGAGTACACTCCACTATGCAACCTTAATTCTGGACTCTTATGACAACCATAATACCTTATCATATATCGCTTTTAAATTATTCTCTCCCTCATCTGTTTCAATGCAGTATATATAATTTATCCAGTTTTTTTTCAGTCTTACCCCAACCCTGATGTCAGTCCCATTATACAACAGTGGCACCATGCAGTATTTTGTGCTGAGATATTCACTCAGCATAATGTCCTCCAGGGTCACCCATTTTGAATAATATTGCATGAGTTCCTTGTTTTTCAATGCAGCATAGTTTTCAGTTGTGTGAATATACCACAGATTCTCTATCCATTCGTTTGTTAATGGGCACCTGGGTTGTTTCCAACTTCTTGCTATTGTGAACAAAGCAGCGATAAACATGGGTATGCATATATCTGCTTGGATGTCGGTTATGGTCTCTTTAGGGTATATTCCCAGTATTGGAATTGCTGGATCAAATGTATGTCTATTTGCAATTTTTTGAGAAAGCGCCACACCACTTTCCACAGTGGTTGCACCATTTTACACTTCCACCAACAGTGAATAAGGGTTCCAGCTTCTCCACAACCTCGCCAGCATTTGTTGCTTGCTGTTCTGTTATATTTTGTTATTCTGACTGGGGTGAGATGATATCTCATAGTTGTTTTGATTTGCATCTCTCTCAGAGCTAGGGATTTTGGACATTTCTTCATGTGCTTGTTGGCCATCTGAATGTCTCCTTGGGTGAAATGTCTGTTCATATCTTGTGCCCATTTTTCAATTGGATTATTTACCTTTATGCTGTTGTGGTTCTTAAGTATTTTATAAATTCTAGATACAAGCCCCTTATCTGACATGTCATTCCCAAATACTTTTTCCCAGTCTATGGCTTCCCTTTTTACCCTGGTGGAGAAGTTTTTGTATGTGCATAGGAATTTGATTCTTAGAAGGTCCCATTCATCTATTTTATCTTCTCCTGGTTGTAGATGAGATGATATTTGTATCTCTCTTAGAGCTAGGGATTTTGAACATTTCTTCATGTACTTGTTGGCTATCTGAATGTCTTCTTTGGTGAAGTGTCTGTTCATATCCTGTGCCCATTTTTCAGTTGGGTTATTTAACTTTATCTTGTTGTGGTGAATATTACAAATTTTAATAAAGGGAAATATGCCTGTACTTTCTATCTATATTAAATGTGCATTTTCTTATGAAAACACAAGTGAAGGTTAGATTAGATTATTATCATACTTTTTGGTTTTGACATGCTTTAGGAAAATGATAGCCATTGGTCTGTAACATCAAAAGATGCATCTTCAGATAGTTGACAAAATAGAAACAGCAAACTTCCTTTAAAGAATACACTTTACAAATAAAGAGTAATAATACTCTTTACAAAATAATACTATTAAGATCTGTATATAATGTGACAGTTCAATTGTAACTCATAACTCTATTTAAAAATGGCAAACTCATTGCCATAAAGTTGGAAATGACTCATAGCTGACCCTCCACCGTTTTTTTAGAGGCCGTAAGAAGCTGTGCTGCAATCCCAAGGCACACAGTCCAAATTCACCAAATGCCCCATGGGAGAAAGATGGGCAATCTCCTCCCATACATTTAACTCCTCTACAAACCCACTGCATGGTTGGCTATGAGTTGGTTCCAACTTGATGGCACACAACAACAACAACAACAACAACAACAACAAATCACATAGGAGGAGAATGCTCATTTTTCTCCCTTAGAGTCACCAATGGACTTGAATCAGCACCTTTAAGTTAGCAGTGCAATTCTATAGACTATGCCCCTAGAGGTATTTATTTTTGCCTTCATTTTACAGATGAGGAAACCTAACATAGAAAATGAGATGTTAATGAGTATCATTTAGTCAGTTCCAACTTATAATGAATCTATGCACAATATAAAGGAACCCTGACCAATCTTGTGCCATCCTCAAAATCTTTGATGTACTTAACCCAACACGATGGTCATTATGTTATCTTATTTATGGGTCTTTTTTTCTTTCATTGACCCTCTACTCTTCCAAACATGATGTCTTTCTCCCAGGACTAGCCTCTCCTTATAAAATGTCCACCAAGTACAGGAAACAAGCCTCAATATCCTTGCTTCTAAGGAACACTCTAGCTGTACTTCTTTCAAGAGAGATTTGTTTGTTCTTTTGGCAATCCATGATATAGTGCAACATAAATTATTGTCAATTTGTAGGGAAAAGGCTTTATTTCATAACGGATCATGGAATTTCATGAAAATGAAACAGAATCTTGATGTGGAGTTTTACTACAATGCAACTTCCGTTTCATCAAGGAATAGGAACCGGCCACGGCACCATGTCTCATTGAATATTAATGCAAGTGATGTGACTAAGTAGATTATTTATATCATGATCTACATTAAAACATGTCTGAAATAATCTTCTCAGTCATTTAACAGCAGAGTGATTCTTTGTACACAGATATGATTAAGATCATCCTGGCAAAACTTAGTCATCATCAATTTAAAATATCTAGGAATTAGCTGAATAACTAGTCACATTTATTCAAGTGGAAGAAGACTGTGCAGTCATTAGTCACATCTGGGATGAGCTTGTTAGCCCATCATTTCTGCCAATTGAATATATGTGTGTGTGTGTATTTTCCTAACTTGATAACATTATATAATAAAATTAGTCACAAAATTTAAAAGTGAGACATGCCATATAATTATTATAATTTCTGAAAAGTATTCCCAATTAGTACACAGCTGTTAAAGTAAGATGCAAGAACTTTCACTTAGAATAATTTGTCTTCTAATCTCACTGCATTTGAACATTTATTTTGTCAAGTAATTGCTTAATTCTTATCCATAAAATTGAAAAGGAAAAAAAAACAAAGTGAAGGAAAAGAGAGAAGACAAAGAGCTACTAGGAAGTTTGTTACAATTTTCTTAATGATCTCCACAATTACCTTGACGTCCTGTGGAAGTGTAAGCCACCGAACTCCAGGAAGATGGTCTAAAAGCACTGCACTGGAAGCATCATAATGTTGTGCACTGTGACTCACATCTGAATTTAGTTTAGGAGGCTGAAGAGCTCTTTGAAAGAACAAGCTGAAGAAATGATCCAAATGAGGAACATTCTCAGTCTGGCAGAATGCACTGAAGAAACAAGAACTATAAGTTAGAATATGGAACCAACGGTCATTTTTGTATGTTCTTAAGGGGTCCGAAAGGAACTCTGGTGGGCTGTTGTTGTTAGGTGCTGTCGAGTATTACCAATAAAGACCCTATGACCAAAAGATCTGAACCTGGTCCTATTCTGTATCCTCACTCCTCCTAACACATTAGATCCCATTGCAGTAGTCATCGTGTCAATCCACCTGGTCAATGGTCTTCCTCTTCTTCACTGACCCTCCACCTTTCCAAGCACCATGTCCCTCTCCAAGGAATAGCTCCTCCTAGCAACATGTCCAAAGTATGTGGGGTGACACCTCATCATCTTTGCTTCCCAAGAACACTCTGGATGCACTCTTTCCAAGACATATTTGTTTGTTCTTTTGGAGTTCCATGGGCTATTCAGTGTTCTTTTCCAACATCACAGCTCAAAGGCATCAATTCTTCCCCTGTCATCCTAACTCACTGTCCAGTTCTCAGATGCATATCAAGTGACTGGAAAGAGCATGGCCTAAATCAAACACACCTTAATCCTCAAACTGATATCATCACTCCTCAATAATTTGGAGATGTCCCTAACTGTAGACTTTCCTAGTGCAATATGTCTCCTGATTTCCTGACTGGTAGTACCAATGGTGTTAACTGTGGATCCAAATAAGTTGAAATTATTGACAGTCTCAATCTTTTTTCCATCTATTATGATGTTTCCTATCGATCCACGGATATGAAATTTTGTCTTCTTGATATTGAGATGCAGTCCATATTGAAAGCTGCATTCCTTGATATTCTACAACAAGTGCTTCAAGTCCTCTTCACTTTCAGCAAGCAAGGTTGTGTTATCTCTGTAACACAGGTTATTGATGAGTCTCCCTCTGATCCTGCCACATTCCTCTTCACAGAATCCAGCTTCTTGAATAACTGGCGCTGCATACAGATTGAATAGGTGTAGAGAGAGAATACAACTTTGAAGCACTCCCCTAATTTTAAACCATGTAGTGTTCCCTTGCTCTGTTTGCACCACAGCCTCCTGGTCTAGGTATAGGTTCCACATAAGCACAATTGGGTGCTCTGAGATTTCCATTCTTCTCAATGTCAGCCACAACTTGTTATGATTCATACAGCTAAATGATTTTGCATAGTCAATAAAGTACAGATTGACATTTTTCTAGCAGTCTTTACTTTTAGCCAGTATCCATCTGACATCAATAATGATATCCCTGGTGTCATGGCCTGTTCTAAATCTTGCTTCTGGTAGTTTTCTAACTCTGTACTGTTCTAGCTGTTTTTGAATTATTTTCAGCAAAATACTGCTGCTGGTGGCTTAGTGGGTGAAAAGTTGCACTGAAAACTTAAAGGCTGTAAATCTGAATCTATCAGCTGCTCTTACGAAGAAAGAAGGACAATTTCTTCCCATGCAATTTACAGCCTCTAAAAACTTGCTGAAAGGTAAGTCAGTTCTAAATTGACAAGCACATAAAAATAAGTGGTCTGAAACTTTTCCACTGACACAAGCTCTCCTCAACTTCCTTCCTTAGTAAAAACGTCACCCCTAATATTACTTATGGATTGTGTCTTGATCATCGTTAAAAACAGCAAATATTTAATTAGTTTATACTATATGACTTGTACTGCACTGATCCTTTACATGTATTAACATCTCTAACTCTAACCATGCAGGCATTTTTATTATTCATGCTCATTTTATAAAGAAAGTATAGCTCAGATTAGTAAGCAAATTGCCCCAAATCACACAATTTGTAAAGAGGAGAGCTAGATTTAATCCTAGATCTAACTACTTTACTCAATCTTAACTAGTCCATTGAGACAGACTTTACAAAAATGAAATAAAACCATTATCTACAGCTCAACTAAGTTAGAAATTCTATTAAAAGAGCAAATAAAGCTAATTGTAAAGGATTTATGTTAAGTGAACCTATGAAAGCAACTAGTTAGGATAAAAACTTAGGCAAAATTGTAAAGCAGGTAAAATTTGGTTTTAGTTACCCAGGGCACTAGTGCTCGTTTTATGCCCTTCAAACTTAATGAAAGGAGCCTTAACAACGTAGTACATAAAATGTTGGGCTGACTTTCCATGAAACCATCTACATACAAGAATTTAGAGATTTATATTGTTATACAAATATTTTAAATACCCACAAAAAAAGGTTAACAGTTTGATTCTACTTCACTTGAGAATGGTAGGTAGTCTCTTTCTGTAAAGATTTACAACAACTGACTTAAAAACAGTGAGTTTTAATTTTAAAGAAGCCATTTCTTCATTAGAAATAGAAAAAGTTATAGGCAATCTTCATTATTATAAATTCTGTAACTAAAATTCTGTCTCCTTGTTAAAATTCATTTGTAGCATAAAAATCAATATACTCATGGCACTTTTGTGGTTATTTGTGATTATATGTAGCACTGCCTGATGTATAGCTGAGAATGAACAAGGCAAGGATTTGCCATCTTGTTTCAATTCTCATAGTGTAAACAAATATCTTTTCTATGCTCTATCTAGTATCAAATCTTATGCAATTTTTGCTTATTGTTCATGATTTTGCTTTGAAAAATCCCCCAAGCACAGCACTAAAGTGCTCTTCTAGTAGTTCTAATTGTAAAAAGTTGTGATGTGCTTTATGAAGAAAATATGAGAGTTAGGTAAGCCATATTCAGACACAATTAAGGTATTCTGGCTGAGTTTAATGTTAATCAGTAATATATAAGTTGTCTTTAAACAGAAATACAAATCTTGTCACTGCCTTTAATAGCTTGTCTTTTATATACATTCATATATGGTGTTCTCTGTAAATATACATAGCACAATAATAATAGAAACCACTTTAAACTAATTTTGTCAAGAAATGAGAGAGAAAAAAACATTTAGAATCTGCTCACTATATGAAGAAATGCTCTCATATTTACCCCTATGGAAATAGGTCAAATTAGAATATCGTTGAGGTGGCATTATTATTCTATTTAAGGAATATATGAGAGCCCTTTCCTAAAAAATGGTAGATTAAATGGATAATTGCTCAGGGTTGTAAAATAAAAAAAACAAGTAATGAACAGACCCTTGACAGTACAGAATGACTCAATGACGAGGGAAATGGGTTGATGTGTGTCGGATGTGGTGAGGATGGCACAGGATAGGGCAGGTTTCAGATCCGTTTTTCATAGGGTCACTATAAGTTGTAGTCAGCACAACAGCACATAATAACAACAGCGTCTTGCCAAGCAAGGAGCATTATATAGTGGAAAAATAAATTTAGAATCAACAATTTAAAACATCTGATTAATTCCAAGGAGTACTTACCTATCTAAAGAACCATACATAAATTTTAAAGTTTTGGCAGCATCTTCTATCATATTCCTTAGCTGAGGAAGAGGAACTCTAAAAAAGATAAAAACATAATTATTTATTTTACACAAAAAAATCAGATGATACATATGTAAAAGCAGCAGAATTTTTATATATAAGGATCATAAGGAGTTTTATGTTCCAAGTGTGAGTCTAACAGTGTAAAAATAGCTGTTTAGTGTATTAGCAATTGACCACTAGGAGGTCGAGATTTGGGGGCCTAGTATAAATCATATAGGCCTTTTTTTATGATCACATATAGGCAAATGTTAGCTTGGAAAGTAGAAGGTCAGCTAAAAAAAGGGCAAAACTCTTAACAAGGTGGCTGCAACAATGGGTTTAAACACTGCAGATTGTGAGAACAGTGACGGACTGAGCAGGGTTTCATCTTGTCATACACAATCAGAGCCAACTTGACATTACCTAACAGTGTCTTCATCTGTAAAATGGGTCCAAAAGTACTTCTCAGAATGAGTCTGAGCATTAACGAAATGAATACATACAAAATACTTAGTGTAATAAACAGGCCTAGAGAAGAAATTATAATTCTATTTACCAATACAAGCATACATTGGAAATGTTGCAGAATCAATTCTAGACAACCAAAAAAATGAATAGTGAAAAAAAAAAAAGTAGTCACACATATTTTTTGGTGGCTTAATGGTAAGGAATTGTGCTGCCAATTGCAAGGTAATGCAGTTCAAACCCACCAGCTGCTCTGAGGAAGAAAGAAGGGCAATCTCCTCCTGTAAGATTTACTGTTTCTGAAAACCCACTGGAGGGTCAACTGTGACTCAGTTCTGACTTGGTGCTCAACAACAACAACAACAACAAGAAAGAATATAAAAAGGAGCTATGGTGGCTTAATGGTAAGGAGTTGCGCTACCAACCCTAAGACACATGGTTTGAATTCATCAGCTGCTCCATGGGAGAAAAATGGGCAGTCTCTTCCTGTGTGATTTAAAGGCTCTGAAAAACTGCTGAATGATCAATTATGGGTCAGTTCTGGCTTTATAGCACTTCACAGCAACAAATAACATAAATGTATATAAAAGAGAATATTGGTGGCTTAGTGGTAAGGATTTGGGCTGCCAGCTCAGAGACACACAGTTCCAATCCACCAGCTGCCCCACAGAAGAAAGATGGGTAGTCTCCTTCCATATCATATATATCAACTGTCTCTGAAAACCCTCTGGAGGGTCAGCTATGCATCAGTTCTGACTCAATGGCATATAACAACAATAACAAGTGTTATAAAAGGGCAAGGGTTGCACTGACAACCCAAAAGAACATGGGTTGAATCTACCAGCTACTGCTCCTCAGGAGAAAGATGGGCGATCTCCTTCCACACCATTTAGAGTCTCTGAAAATCCACTGGAGGGTCAGCTATAAGATCGTTCTGCCTCGACGGGACATTACAACAAAAAACAACAATGCAAAGAAAAGTTACGTTTACACTATATTATAGTCATTGGTTTGGAAGCAGGAGTGACATCCACTTCCTAAACATGCTTCTGGAAACTCTATAAACTTTAAGAAATGACGATAATTATAGAAAGGCTTCAGGTCTTTTGTTCATAGGGTTGCTATAAGTCATGCTTGACTTGATGGCAATCAACAATCGAGTCACTGGAGCTGTAACGGTGTAGTCCATAGAGTGTTGGCCAGAAGGTTATGAAAATCTGACAGTTCAAAACCACTTGCTCTGTGGGAGAAAGATAAACAGACTTCTTCCTTTAAGATTTATAGTTTAATTGATGGAAGGCTGCTATGAGCTGGGATCAACTTGATGGCAGTAAGTTTAGTCTATTAAGTGTGCAATAATATTGCAAAAAGTTTGAAAGACTGCAAATATTACCAAAAGTGACAAGGAAACATAAAATCAGCATATGTTGTTGGGAAAATGGTGCTAAAAACTGCTTAATTTAGAGTTGTTACAGACCTTCAATTTGTAAAAAAGCAGATTTACTTTTTTTTTTAACTGAAGTTTTACACAAATTCTGCAAGACAAATTGTATAATTTCCATTCATGGGCAAGATTCAACAAAAATGCAATAATTAAAATGTGAAGAGCAATTAAATCCTCACTTTCTCACTTCTCAATCATCTTTCACATGAGCCCTCTATGTAGTAATCTCTCTCTGTTCTCAGTTACCCAGTAAGGTCAAATCTTGCCCATTCAAAGAGAACTACTGCAATCTGTTAAAGAAACTCAGAAGTTCCTACAACCTGGGGATTTGTTACCGTTGTTGTTACGTGCTGTCGAGTCGCCTGCTATTAATAGCAAACCTATGTACAACAGCCCTAAACTCTGCTCTATCCTGTGCCAATCTCACTATCTCTGACACACCTAACCCCATTACCCGTCACTGAATCAATCCATCTCATTGAGGGTCTTCACCCTCTTCAGGATGAACCTGTTTGTTTTCTTCGCAGTCCATGGTATATTCAATACTCTCCTCCAACACCACAGCTCAAAGGCATCAATTCTCCTTCTATTATCTGTAGTCATTTTCCAGCTCTTTGATGCATAGCAAGTGACTGCAAAGACTACGGCATGTATCAGGTGCACCTCAGTCTCCAGACTGACATTGTTGTATTTCAGTACTTTAGAGAGGTTTCTAACCACAGACTTTTCCAACGCAATACGTCTTTTAATTTCTTGGCTGCTGGTGCCAAGAGTAGTGACTGTGGAGCCAAGCAAATCTGGGGATAGCTTCAGAATTTTTCTACTACCCTCCCAGTATTTCAGGAGTCACAAGCTCAGGGGCCTACCCTGAGATCTCTCCCCTTCATTTTCTAATGCCTACCACTGCTTTGGGTTTAATGACTCACAGAGCTCATAAAAAAGTATATGCATCTTCACTTATCAATCTGGAGTAGATAAAATTGATGAATAGGACCTTAAAATAAAATACCTATGTGCATCAAAACTTTTCTCCATTAGGGTGAAAAGAAAGCCCATAGATTGGGAAAAAACATTTGGCTACAAATGAACATACCATGGACTACTAGGAGAATAAACCAGTTCATCCTGGAGAGGATGAAGCCAGCTTGCTTCTTGGAGGCAAGGATTCTAAAGTATCATCTGACATAGTCTGGACATGTTGCAAGGTGGGATCAGTCCTTGTAGAGGGATGTCATGCTTGATAGGGTAGAGGGACAGTGCAGGAGAGAAAGACCTTGATGAGATGGACTGATTCAGTGACTGTGGTATTGGGGGTAGAAGTATCAGGGACAATAAGATTGGCACAGGACAGAGTAAGATTTAGGGCTATTGTACATAGGATTGCTATTAGTCGTAGGCAACTCAACAGCGCATAACAATAACAACAACAACATTTAAGACAAAAATCTCATTACTAAAGTTTACAGAATACTGTAGAACCTCCACAAAAGAAAAAAAAACCCCAATTACATTATGAGCAAAAGATATGAAAAGATTCTTCACAAAGGAAGACATTCGGATGCACAACAGACACCAAAAGAAATGTTCAAAATCACTAGCAACCAGAGATACACAAATCAAAACAACAATGAGATCCATGTCACTACAGCAGCAGTAGCAAAGTTTAACGCAACATAATAAATGCTGGAGAGGATGTAGAGAGGCTGGAACTCTTACATGCTGCTGGTGGAATTGTAAAATGGTACAACAGCTATCAAAGGTAGTTTGGCATTTCCTCAAAAAGCTGAAACAGAAATCCCATATGTTCACAGAAACATTATTCACAATAGTAAGAAAATGGAAACTGCCCAAATGCCTGTCAACTAATGAATGTCAGCTTGAGAACTAGAGTACATTTACACAATGGAATACTATGCAGGACTACAGAATGACTTTGTAAAACACTATATAACTTGGGAGAGAATAGAGATCATGATGATGAGTGAAATAGCTCAGTTATATAAGGACAAATATTGTACAAGGTCATTATGCAAGATATGAACAAATGTTCAAAAGGGGAAGTGGAAGTGGAAAGAGAGGCATAAAAAGTGGAAGAGGGAAAATCACTGGGATAGAAGAGGTGGAGAGGAGAGGGATGAATGATTGGGAAATGTTCCAAGGGGACATGAAAAGACAGGGACAACAGGCATACAGCAATGGCTTTATTATTATATTATTATTATTATATACAATATGATGCATATAAATGTATAAAACACAAGGTAAAGAAAACACAACATATATGACTGATTTTATAAAATGCAAAGTAAGTGTATTATATGAATGATTGTATGCAAACCAATAAAGAAATTTTTAAAACATTTGTTTCCTAGAGTGAAAAACAGATATATTAGATAAAGAAAATATACAATAAGAGACTGGACAGACATTATAATTAATTAGATCAATCAATTGAAATTAATGGTATAAAGCAAACTATATAAATGATGAAATGAAATTATAATTACATTATAAAGCAAAGTTTGAATGAATGATAGAATGTAAACTTCAACTCAAATTTTGGAAAATAAATTAAGATTATCATAAGACATACATGGGCACAGTCTGGGAGGGTTCTCAACACTGAGTTCCACATCCCAAGGCGGGCATGTAAACCTCACTTCAGTAGTTAGGAGACTCTCAGAGCTTCAGGTTCAGAGCATTTATTGGTTTCAATCATATGCATGAGGCCTCATTGCATATGCATCCTTAGACTAGTTAAGAAAATACAAGATGATCTTTCTGGTCATTCATTAATATACATTGTTAGGAATGATTTGGAAGTTTTAGATAATAAAGAGGATTAATTTATTGAGAAAATGACAGGGCTTATCTCTCAGGAACTAAGCACAGCTGTTTTTTGTTTATATGGTGATTTACTACTGTACAATTTTCATAAGGTGATTTGCTACTGTACAAATTGATTGCTCTAATAGAGAAATTGAGGTCTAAGAAATTAAGTAATTTGTGAGGGTCACAATGGAAGGAAAGCCTTCCTGTGAGCTTACACATTCTGACTGATTTCAAAAGTTAATTCTCTGGAGTACCCACACTACCCATTATTCACTGCAGCTATCACAAAAGAATGGTACATCAGCTGAAAGCACATATACCTGGGTCATGACAATCCATCCCTCCTCCATTCTTGTCTAGGGCAGCATTTTAAAGAGTTGTGCTGCTAACCAAAGGGCTGCACATCTCCAGTGGTTTCAATTTATCAGCTCCTCCATGCAGTTGGGGATGATAGGGAGTCAGGGACAACAATGAGAATGGCTAGTCTTCAAGATAAGATTTACAGCCTTGAAGACCTGGAGGGTAGGAATGAACTCAAGGACAGTGAGTTTGAGTTTAGTTTGAGTCTGTAGAATGGAAATACTCTGGCTAATGGGGGAGAAATCGTAGGGCTGCCAGTTCTTTTACAAGCTGTGCACACAATGCTGAGGACACAAAAACACATGATATTGCAATTCTCCATTTCCTAGTTTGAGCATATGGGAATAATACCACCTACCTCTCATGGTTATGTGAAATAACATAACCATGTAGTACAGAGGTATGAGCATCAAGAGAGGCTGGGTAATTGGGTAACTAGGGCTTATTTTGGACTTGAAGCTAAGGACAGAGAATAAAAGGGGTCTTCAAATTCATTCTGATGTATGAAGCCAAATTCTCTACAATAGGAATGATCCTATGTATTAGGGAAGACCCCTCTAAAGTATTAATGATTGAACTGGCCACAACATCCTCTGTGCAGCAGACTTTTGGTCTGAAGCCCAGAAGTGAGAATCTTTCCTTTTTTGGCTTCAGGATAAACCTCTGGAAACTATCTTTGTCTGCCTAACTTGGCTGCTGTCAAGAGTGTGGCTGGGTGGCCTCTGTTCAGTTCCATAGCTGGAGTTCACTCTTAATTGCCTGCGCTGATTCTTCTCTTTTTCCTTCTGAAATATGATGAAATTAAAGAAAAATGTTTTATCTTTCCTCAAGTACTTTATTCAAGATGTTCTCCAAATCTTATAAACCCAAACTTTAAAAGGCATCCTATTTGTTCACAATCCCAACTGACATAGAATAGTCTCCTAAATGGGATCCCTTTTCAGACAGAAGAATATACTAGGTTTTCTTAGTTTTGGGTTTTTTTTATTCTTTTCTGGATAGCTACCATGTAGTACATGTTACAGAACCATTATCTCCTTCTGCCAAATTTAATAATTTCTACTTTTATGATGGATCATATCTCCTATGGAAAATTTAAATCACCATTAAAATATAACAATCTTGATAATTTTCACCACAGCTTCTTTTGGAACTCATTTAGGGTGTTAAAACATGTCTACAAATTCTTTGATATTCTTCCCCACAAAAGGTGGAGTATGGGTGAGATTTAATAACTTGTTTTAATAAACAGAATACGGTGGTTATTCTTTAACTATAAACTATAAAAAGTTTACTATTCTAATACTATAAACAGTACAAGTTGTTACTCTATAACTAGGTTATAAATGGTGCGACAGTTTCCTCTTCCTTCTCTCTTCTGGACTGCTTGTTTGGGGCACCCAGTTGATATGCCATAAGGATACTTAAGCAGGTCTATGGAGCAGTCTACATGGCAAGGAACGAAGGCTTCCTAATGAAAGCCATGTGCTAACTCATCTCGGAAGCAGATAACCAGCTCAAGTCAAGTTTTCAGATGAAAATAATCCTTGCCAATATTTTAACTGTAGCTGCAAAGGTCATCTTGAGCCAGCTAAGTCATTACTTGGTTTTTAACCTACAAAAATGCCTACAAGATAATAAATATTTAGCGTTTTAAGTCTCTAAATTCTGGAGTAATTCGTTATGTCACAGTAGATGAAACACTATTAAATAATGAAAAAAATTTGGTTAATGAAGTAATTCAGTAAACAGCTATATTTGTGTCCAGTAACATTACAGTTGTTCAGACTGAGAGTTGACTGAACAACTGGTATTTTTGTCCACGGTTTTCTTCATTGTAAGCTTAGTGTTAACGTTCTCCAGTGCTTACTTTGGTATTTTTAAACTACTCTTTGGTATACCCTGCCTACCCCTGCACCTTTTTATTTTTGTTGTACTTAAACTCATTATTACAGTCACTGTGCCAATCCATCCCGTACAGGATCAGGCAGAGCTGTGGTTTGTTGTACACAGGGTCACTATGAGTTGGAGTTGACTTGATGGCACCTAACAACAACAACAGCAGCATTTGGTAGATAATATGCCAAAAAAAGGAAAATTGCTGTTTCTGTGTGGCATCAAGTTATTTCTGACTCTGACGACCTATATGATAGCACAGAACTGCTCCATAGTTTCCTAGGCTGTAGTAATTATAAGAATAGATCAGAGCTCTTTAAAAAAAGCAACAAAAGTGCTTAATAAAAGTTTCTCAATTATTTTTTAGAGTAGGCAAATATGTAGACTGTAACTTTTAAAAATCATTGAACAGAGACTAAGATTCATTAGTCGAAAAGGAGTTAAACCTCCCTGCCCTGACTCCTAGTTTTTAATGGTCTACTAGGTTAGATAAATAACATAATAGAAATTATTCAGACCCTCAATAAATTTCAGTCCTGTCTCTCGTTAATTATGGCAAGTTATTTAACACTCTCCATTTCACTCTCCTCATCTCTGTAAACAGGGCTGGTAGTTAAGAAATGGATCATCTCAGGCTGATTTTGAAGATTATATGAGATTAATGAATGCAAGACTCTCAACCAGATGGAGTGAAACGGTGACTGCTGCAATGGCCTCTTGTTTGTCAGAAAGTGTGAGTATGGCACAGGAAAGAACAGGGTTCAGATCTGTTGTTCATGGGGTTACTATGACTTGCACTTGACTTGATAGCACCTCATAACAACAACGAATGCAAAAAACCTAGGAAAATCAGAGGGTTCATGCTCAGCTCTTTAAATGTCAATCCTGCTTTGACTTCCAATTATCTAAGTAAGATATATTTCAAAAAAAGCTAATGGGGAAGCCAATTCATTTGAGAGTTAAATACTCTCTATTTTCTCAGAGGTTTACAACATCAGGCAAAATGCCCTTCTGCTGAATCTTAAGTGTTTAAATTCCTTAATATGTAAAATCAAAATGATTCTGCCATTACCAGAAGTTTGTACAGAGGATGATTATTAAGCTCATCTCTCAGCTACCTTTGTATCAGACAAATCTTGGAGAAAAGTGATTGACACTTTCTAATTGCTCCAGCTGGGAATTCAAGGCACCTTTCTATAATACTCATACCAAACAAGCATATCTACTGATGCAACTGGTACAATATCTTTAAATCCTATATTACTTAAGGACTTTGCCTTTTGATTATTTAATGAAATTGACGTTAACAGCATTTAAGAAATGACTTCTTAAATACTTAAAGCATTAAAAAAAAAGATCTCAACTTACTCTTCAGCAGGAAGGCCAATTAACAACAATTTGTCAGATTCTTTCCAATAAGCCACATGAACATGTTTCCCATTTAAAAGGAGAGAAGAGCTAAGGGAAAAAAAAGTCAAAATCAGGTTCTAATACCCTTAAATGTCATAAGATTATAAGCAGACACTTATAAAAGACTGCAGATAGTAGTCGTTGTTGTTATGTGCCGTCGAGTTGCTTGCGACTCATAGCGACCCTATGTACAACATCCCTAAACCCTGCTCTATCCTGTACCAATCGCACTGCCTCTGACACACCCATCCCGATTATCTCAGTCAATGAATCAATCCACCTCACAGAGGGTCCTCCCCTTCTGGGCCGTCCCTCCACCCTCTCAAGCATGATGTCCCTCTCCAAGGACCTCTCCCTCCTTACAACATGTCCAAACTATGTCAGATGAAGCCTCAGAATCCTTGACTCCAAGAAGCAGCCTGGTTTAACCTTCTCCAGATGAATCTGTTTGTTTTCTTGGCAGTCCATGGTACATTCAATACTCTTCTCCAGCACCACAGCTCAAAGGCATCAAATCTCCTTCTATCCTCCTTAATCATTGTCCAACTCTCTGATGCATAACAAGTGACTGCAAAGACCATAGTCTGCAACAGACACACCTTAGTCTCCACAGTGACACCACTGTTCTTGAGTACTTTGGAGAGGTCCTTAACAGCAGACTTTCCCATTGCAATACGGTTTTTGATTTCCTGGCTACTGGTGCCAAGAGTGTTGACTGTGGAGCCAAGCAGACTAAAGTTGTTAACAATCTCAATCTCTTCCCATTCATCCTGATGCTGCCAATTGGTCCAATGGTGAGAATCTTTGTCTTTTTGACATTGAGCTTCAGTCCATAGTGAAGGCTGCAGTCCTTGACCCTCTACAGCAAGCATTTCAGGTCCTCCTCAGTTTCAGCAAGCAGAGTTGTGTCATCTGCATAATGCAGATTGTTAATAGTTCTTCCACCAATTCTGATGCCACACTTCTCCTCATAGAGCCCAGCCTCTCGGATAATCTGCTCTGCATACAGGTTGAAAAGGTACAGAGATAGGACACATCCCTGGCGTACACCCTTCCCTATTTTGAACCATGCAGTGTTTCCTTGCTCTGTTATGACGACTGCCTCTTGGTCCAAGTATAGGTTTCGCATTAGCACGATCAAGTGTTCTGGGATTCCCATTCTTCTCAGAGTCAGCCATAGTTTGTTAT